CATGAAAAATTCGATGAAAAATAATTCACCTTAAAAAATACTGAGCAAAAGTTTACGATTTCATTTTACTAACCAACCAGAAAATGAAAATAAAACAATTACAAAGATACATTCCCAAAAAAAATAATTGAACATTTTTTCGTTGAATGAATAGTTCATGATTTTGAATATATTTAAAAAAAGGAAGTGATGAATAATTTGGTCTACGTTCGGTAGTTGAACTCAAAATATTAGTGGCCAAGGCTAGTATGAAACTGAAATATTCATTATTTGTTCGGTCGTTGTATTCACATAAATCATCAGTTTCAAGACTTTGAAACTCTCCTTTTAGCTACCCTAAAGCTTAGTTGGTAGAATGAAAGTGAAAAATTACCCAACTGCTTAGTTTGTCATTGTTTATATAGTATCTAAATATTTATACATCACATTTCATTAAAGACTAAAACATACTTCAAGTAAACGTCCCAAGTGGCCCCAACAAACTCGGAAGAAGTAAGGATGTGAAATTGAAAAGTATAACAAGTAAAGAGGAGAGGTTTACTGCTCATTTTTCCAGTCTATATCTCTCCCCCTTGCCTCTACAATTGTCATGTCCTACATAATTTTTACAATCCAATAGATCCGTTAAAATTGAACGTAAAATACTTTTTGTGTATATTTTTGAGCTAATGGAAGCTCAATCATGTACGAGCGAGGTAATGTATGCTACTTACACAAAAATGTTCATTTGGTGAACGTGAATGAATAATCTTCATTATGCTTGCAAACAGTTGAAAATAATTAACTAAGTCCAGTTATAAAAGTTCGTTACAATAACTTTTTGGGCAATTTTCTGTTGACTGAATAATCGATGATATCGTCGTAAGTGATTTTGTTCATTAATTCTGACCCTATGCACATCGGCAAAATTTGTTGCAGACTTTTATTCATAAGACACATCCATGATGTGGCAAAAAATCGGTTTCCAATATTTTTGGCCTTAGGCTCATGCCTACTCAGCCTGCTAGCGAATCCGCCGCTGGTGCTGGCATATTGAATTGAACTGATGAAATAATTTCTGGAGCATTTATTTCATTGATAATAATTTTAAAGAGATATAACATGGCCACCAATTTTCTTTTTTGATTCGAAACCAATATCCTCACACGGTTGCTTCCTCGGTAGAAATAACGAAGGAAGCTACGGTGTAAACCAAACGCGTCTAGAAATCAAAAATGTTTGTAAAAATTATGTATATACTATCATGGATAGTATAGTATTCTACTTTTGAGATTCAACTCAGAGCACTTCAAACTTCACTGTTTGAGAACTCTTCCATTTGGAGAACTGTGTTTCTGTGGAATAAACTCCCTGAGAACTTCTCCAAATGAATATAATCTCTAACGATTCAGTGCGCTTTTAAGGTATTTTCTGTTGTGCTTGTGTTTTTTTTTTGAGNACTAAATATGTAATTGAGTCAATAGTGTGCTCGTGTTTTGTCCTAAAAAAAAATTAGAAGTATGTTTACATATGCAGGATAAAGGAATTAGCTTAATTATTCACAGACCAACATTCTTATCGAGAGTTGGTGTACATTAGATTTCGTTTAAATAATGTCGTTTCAATGCTTTTTTGATTTTTTTATTAAGATTCCGCTTGAATTCACCTGAGATTGACTTGTTCACTCGTGCGATCTGGTATGAATTTTCCTAAAAATGATTATGTTTGGTGTGTATGGAGCATTAGTCTTTCCCTGTAGCGAATGTGAATATTGTAAACAACTGAACGACATAAAAATTTCTTGTATAAATTTTTGGCAGCTTTTTCGGTGATGATTTTATGATATAGACCAGCAGTATGTAATGATTGCCGTTTGTAGTTTATACCTACCTTTGAGTTTGTGATATAACATAAGCACAGTTGGGCTGAAAAGTTAGTAGGAAAAAACGATTGGGTTCAATTATATTATACAATTTTTATAGTACGATGTGTCTTTAGCCTCAAAATAGGCCTCAGTTTCGACAATCACCTCCTCATCGCGCAGCGAGTATTCTCTTGAGGTCTAAGAACAGAAATAAATAGCTGAGGGTCAGATCTGGAGAATACAATAGATGCGGAAGCAATTCAAAGCCCAATTCATGCAATTTTGCCATCGTTTTCATTGATTTGTGATACGGTGCATTTTCTCAAATAGGGCGGTTTTTCCGCGATTTCGTCCTTCAAACGCCTAAAAAACATTATGATATAGTCGCTGTTGATGGTTTCTCCCTTTTCACGATAGTCGATGATATTATCCCATGCACATCCCAAAATACTAATACCATTACCTTCCCAGCCAACTGTTGCGTTCCTTATGGAAAAACACGTGCAAATTTGAGCAGGTCCATTCTGGCGACTTTTGAACCTCAGGCCCAGTTCACACGGAAGGTACAAAGGTCTGCGCCTCGTCTCTGCCAAACGACCATGCTGTGTGGATAGGGCCTTAAACTCAGAACCCACTACACTTTTGCCGTCATACAGTCGACCAATCAGAAGCTACCGCCCAGTAGATGAACAAGTTCCGAAGGAATCTGAGTTGTAGGAGGAGGAGATGACACCCAAAAGTGTCGAGAGGTTACGTGTTGTGGAGTTCGAAGGTGGGGGCAATATAGGAGCGAAGTTTTCGACAATGACTTTTCAAAATAAATTGCTTTGCGTACGTTTCAACCGTTTTATAAATGCGTTTCGACTATTTTGCGTGCGTTTATTCGTTATCGTTTCGTCGTCATTGTCATTTTTTCTTGTTCCAATATGATAGTCATCTATCACTCAACGCGTTTCGCTAACCAAGTGGAGAAGTGGGCTCTAAAAGACTAAGGCCCAATTCACACAGAATACTCTCAAATTGTCAGATTACTGGAATATACACTTTTTAACAGGCAATTAACTCACCCTACCTTAATCTGACGCGCTCGAGAATTTCTGATGATCAATTTTTTTTTGCTAATCTGATCCTTTATCCCTCACAGGCGGCCTTATATATGGGGATCATATTTGATGGAGGTACTCAACCGGGTACAAGGTATCCTCCTGTATATTAATCTGCCGCGCTTTAGTAAATCCCGAAATCCCCGCTTGGGCTCCCCTATTATGATGACTTTGTGTTTTTGGCTTCTTTCAATTAAGATGAAGTTGTTCTTGTTTTTCAACTATTTTTTTGTAGGTTAATTTGAAATAGAACAGATTGCTGGCTTCTAGTATATTGTTTAATTTCTTTAAGAAAGTCTTTCGCTTTTCATTTGAGATGATGTCTGCACTTGTATAGATTTTTTAAAATAATTTTTTCTGCCTGTTCCAAAAGTTTTGTCAGGAGTCTTTTTCAAATTGTAATATCTCAGTTTATACTTATTCAATTCAATCGAAATAAGCGTCATTCGAATCGGTGCACTTTTGCCAACGTAACACGAGTTGAATAACTTCGTCAACATAAACATTGGTAATGCAAGATTCGATAAAGTCGACGAAGGCTGTTTATGCCTGGTCCTGATTGGCGAAGGGTCTACCTTTGAGAAAGTTATCGAAGTGCTTGAAAATATAGAAGGCGGCTGGAGAGAGGTCTGGGGAGTATGCTGGGTGAAGCAGAACTTCGACGCTCAATTTCTTTGATTTTCGGACGGTGATTTGTAAAACTGTTTTCGCGACAGATTATGAATTTCATAGTTATCTTCAGTATTATTGTCTCTGATGGTATCCTCAGAAACCCACTCATTTCAACACTATAATTCACAAGATTTCAACAGATCATAATAAACTATCGAGCTGGTTTAGATTATAATAGCAAATGAAAAGACTGCTCAATCAGAAAGAGTGAGTATTGCTGAAATAAGTCTGAAATCAGAATAAATCTATGCCAAAAAAATTAATTTTGTTGTAAAAAAGCGTGGGGTGCTAAATATCCATTGTTATAAATACTTGGTTGGGAGATGTTTGCCGGATTGGAGCCGTAATAAAAATATAAATTGAAGCATCCCAGGGTTTTTTACAACAAAATAAATAGATTTGGAAAGCTGAATACACTTATTGAATAAATTAATCGAAGAGGTTTTTGTATGAAAGTGCTCAGTGCATCAGTGCTCACCTGAAATATTTTTCTTGGGAAATATTGTGAAAATACCTGTGAAATATTTTTTTAACCTTATTTTGATCAAAATATGTGTACTGTTATTTTCAAATTTATAGAAAATATCATACCTGGCATAAAAATTTCTTTTAAATCTCAAAATAACTTAAGCAACTTTTAAGTAAATTCCAAAGACAAAATCAACAAATAACACAGAAGTGGAGTCTATAAGCTGGACTGCTCTGATTGTTCTGCATCTTACATTGGTAGAACCCGTAGACTCTTTACTCGCATTAATAAACATTTTAAAAAACCTGAAAAATATGCATTTGGCCACCACATTAAATTTCACAATCAGTACTTCAGTCCCAACAGAAATTCCAAAATATTACAT